TTAAATAAATATATAATATAATAAACAAAATTTTTAATAAAAATATAACTATATAAAAGATATATCATATTAAGATAAAAAATATATATCATATTAGAACTTTATAATACAATATAATATTTTAAATTTATGGCCATATCATTTTCTTAAAAAATTAAACTCCACGCGGTATAGAAGTGAGGGTGGCGTAATCGTCAAACTTCACCGCCAAACCGATGACTCGGTCTAGAATCCCGTAAGTAGCCAAGGCGGTCTTCGTTGGGAACACAAAACCAAAATCCAGGCTCTATATAACCCCCACACCCACACTTGGCTATCCCCCATGATAATACTCCAATTTCGCTTCCAAGATACGAACTTTCCTGTTCTTGATAGCTTCAAATCTCCAACCCAATCGATTCTCTTACGCAGATTCCCCATACCCATTTCTGCAAAACCAGAGAATTTCCTTTTCTGGGTGTTTTACTTTGGTGGAAGCAGAGTCTGAGGCTCTGCAGAGTGTTTGTGTTGCTTTTTGGGTGCTGGGGTTATGGATTCCTGGAGGAGACAGAGAGGGGAAATTCATCATCGTCAAGATATGCAGGGGTCAAGATCACAGAACAGAAAACCGCCTATTGGTATGTTCGGTTTAGTTTGTTTTTTCTGCATTTATTTTCATAGAGCTTTTTTTTTTTTTTTTTAATGTTAATAGGGTTTTTTGTTCTGTTTTTCTACTTTGTAATTGGTTCTCATTTGATGGGTTTTGACTATCTGTAGCCCTATGCCTGTGGTGGTTTTTGTTTCTGACACTTTAGCTATACTTTGCCTGTAAAAAGTATGCATGTCTTTTGTATCTCTGTCTATATGCTACTCTTACAACACCATGACTAGGGGATTTGTGAGGAATTTCTTCTCTAAGAATCGAATTTTGTTGAACAAGGTCGAAGCAAACCCCCGGCCAACCAAGTTACATGTCCTTTTGTAGTATGTTTGTCTTTTAGAATGTCATGTAAGATTCTTTTCTTAAAATGAAGTCTTGTTATTTTATAATGGCTATTGACCAAATTTCAAGATGGTTTCTTTTAAATGGGGTTTTCAGATCTGGTCATTATGTTATATTACTATGTGTCGTTAATGCTAGAGTTATGTTATGTGCTATGTATAGTTAATGCTAGAGCAGGGTTGTTTGTTAGGCCTTTTTATGATCCTTGATGACTTAGAGGCTGATACCGCTTGTCATAATTAATGGTTTTTGCTTGTGGGTAGGGGCCTATCAGAATGATGCAAAATCTCCATCTGTTGGCTTTTATTGCCTGGTAGAAAATTGTGTCTGATGGTATAGTTGAAGAATTTAGAGTATTGAAACAATCAGTAGGTGGATTTCTACAATTATCTGAAACTTTGTACAATTAACTGAATTCCCCCTTGGCATTAAGTAATTTTTCATGAGGAAAGTATTGATATCTGTGAACATTGATAAAGTTCTTTCAAGGTTGCTAAAAATTGTAGCTCTGAGTATGAGATCTCTGTATTTTATTTCTCTTTTGAGATTGATTCTATTTGAAATGTACTTGCTGTCTATTTATGTTTCCTCTTTTCCTTTAGATATTAATTGTCTTGCATGGTCACCAAGCAACTTGCTTCATCTTCCAACTTTTGTGGGAAGATCGACAACATAATAATATGGAAATTATCCTAGCATTGATACTGCTATTCTTTTAGGGAACATAAAAATTATTCTAGGAGAACAGCATAACACTAACGGTCTTGTTTTTTCTTTGTAAGAGGCATTGTTCCAAATTTGCTTAGCTTATCTTTACATGTCACATTTCCTGACTTTTTTTTTGGGTTGCTTTTGCTTTAGACAACTTTGCATAATCTCTGTAATTGGAGCTCAATTAATTTTATGATTCATTCTCATTTGCAATTTCTTGAATCTATTCACTTATCTGAGAATTATGGCTTTAATTTTTACATTGAATAAATTAGTGCCCCTCATTTGCCTAACCACTCAAATCCTTGTTTTCCAGCTAGTTGGCAGCCAACTGTTCCCTCATGGGAGAAGAAGTTCTGTACTTTGGTTGGTTCCATTCCATGGCAAAAGCTCTTGGAAACCAAAAAGTCTATGTATCTTTACGACAATGTGGTCAAATGGAATGACTCGGCTGGTGAAGAGGCATTCCATAATGCTAAAAACCGGTTTTGGGCTGAGATTAATAACCTCCCTTGTGATATAACACTGCCTGATCCTGATATCTACATTGATGAAATAAATTGGAACTCCGAAATTGACCCAGAGCTGATTAGGGACCTGGAAAGGGAACCCAAGGTTCCAGATGAGACAGATAAAAAGGAGAATGTTTTGATTCTGGGAAGTGCTCTTCTTTCCAATCAGTCATTTTCTTGTACTGGATGGGGGGATGTAGAAGAGGATTTAGCAAAGCACAATGGCATGGCTTTTGATCATAAAAATGAAAACTCTGAAAATCTTAGGGACCATAACTATTCACCTAGAGAAGGCAACATTGAAGAGTCTGGATGGGGACAACTTTGGGATAACCCTTGTGGATGGGACCAGAGGGACACCACTTATGAGTCCAACAATTTGGATAATAAAAAGGTCGGGGATTGGGGAGCAAGGGACACCACTCAGAAGAAGAGAGAAGGGGGTGGTCAGAACATGTCCAGGTATAAGACCTCAAAGTTTCAAGGCGATAATCGCCAGACAGATTGCAGATGGAGGAATGTAAGAGGAAGGCAGAAGGCCAGTTTTGCATATGAACAACAACCCGAGAATTCAAGGCAGTGGAACTCGATGAATTATTGTGGGCAAAACCATAATAATGGGTTTGGCAAAGGTGGAATCCCCTATAGGTGGGAGAAACAACAAGTTTTGTGAGTAAAACAATTCTCTAAGCTTATGGAATCCCTTGAAGGTGGAGAAACAACTTCTGTGAGTAAAATAATTCTCCAAGCTTAAGAAGTATATAATGCTGTAGATTGTCGAGGTCTCTCTTATTATTTTATTTGTTGTTCTCCGAGCGAGCGGATAGTAAATAATAGGATGTCGCCGACCCGGATAAGTCTGCCATGTTCAATTTTGTTGCAGTTTTGTAGTTTGCATCGTTCTGGTGTCTGCATTTGAAATTTTGGACATGGTTTTCAATTCTGAGTGTATTTCATTAAAAATGTTGTGGTGGGCGGAATTGTACACACAAAAAAATGTTTTAAACTCCACACTGTATCGGATTGCAAAAGACCAACTATTGGAAGGAGGAACTTTCCTCCATTATCCAATGGTTAGTGTTTTATAGGTTAATGTAGTGCAGATTGTAAAACAACGGACTCTTGTACATATTATATGATTGAAGTTAAGTTGCTTTCGGATGCAGCCTTCCTGTGATTCCAAAGAGCTTTAGATGTAATGAAGTCTTACGGAGCAAAGTCCTACTCTGTTTGAGTACTGAGGTGTATTTTTACGCTCTACATTCTAATGAACTTGTAGAACGAAAATAAATTGTGTTGTTTATATTACACTTGATTATAAAATATAAATCATTAAGTATTTCTCCATGTAGTTCAAGTGGTTACATTTTTTCGTGTAAGAAGTAAGGTGGAATGCAGCACATAATTATCAGATCGACTCCTTTGATTAATAGTGAAATATATATCAACTTTCTAACCATGTTTTTTACTGTTAGAAAAAAAAAAAAAAAATCATCAAATGAGGAGCATCCTTGAATGCAGAGGCGGGCTTGTCATTTATGGTTTGTTATTTTGTAGTCGGAATACCAACCTCACTATGATATATAGAAAGGAGAAATGGTGTCTCAATTTGTGGTGGAAGACTCTTTGAAATGGTTGTGGTGCGTAATGTGCCAGCATGAGTGGGCATGGCTTGGACCATGCGTGGCACGATCCATTTATTTTTAGTGGGGTGTGTTATAACCGTGACTAGACATGATGTTGTATCGTGCCTGTGATGTTGGTACGTCATTTATCATGCTGGCATGAGCAGCACATAATAGGCTAGCGTGACACAACTTTTACCATAAAATTGAAAAAACAATTATTATAGTTTTTACTCTTTTGTCAAATGATTGTAGGTTTATTTTATTTTATTTTATTTTTATTTTTTTAGACCCGGCCCTGGAGTTCCCACTAGGGAGGTGGCGTAACGACCTCAACCAGAGCGAGGAAAATTATTGTAGTTGTTACCGGTATCATGGTTTTTAACATATTATTTTCATTGATATCTGACCCTTTTTTGGTTTGAGAATCTCAAAATGTTTGCCCTATGCATATGTCCACAAGATTTTTTTTTTTTTTTTTGGATGTCTTTTCTTGATAAAAATTTGAGAATATAACATATAAATTTTATGTTTGAATGGAATGTTAATATGAGTAGAAAGAAATTTGAGAAAAAAAATTATTTAATTATTTTTATTATATAATATATTATTAAAAATTAAAAATTATGAATTAAATTTACTATTAAACAAATATATTACTTGAATTTTGAAGTCGTTATTTAAATAATTTTAGTTGAACCTGATTTATAAGATTAAGTGGTTTTCATCACTCTAAAGGTTCACTTCTTCTCTGAGTAATGATTCAATCCAATCCCGGTAATTGTTCAAAAAAGAATTAAATAATTTTAATTTTGTTAAATACACGAGATAAATATGGAACGCGCAAGACATCCATTTACGTTTGGTATGGTTGTTTAATGGAAGCTGTCTGCAGAAAGCAGAGCACATAGGTGTTAGGTTTTAGAGAAGGGACAGGAGAGCAACTTTGGGGATAAAGTGCAATCAAAGGCACTATATTTTATTGGGTACAATTAAGGACACAAACTACTCAATTGGTGCAAATAAGGACATATTGGATGGAAACGCTCGCATGCCAACAAAATAAGTACTCCGTTTGCCTTTCATGGTATGATAATTTTTGTCTTAAAATTATTGTCATTTTTTAATATTTTTAAATTAAAAATTTTTTAAATAATTTACATATTTATTTATATTACCTTTAAAATAAACTTAAAAGATAAAGTTAGATTTTTTGTGATAGAATAATTAATGAAAGTAAATAGATAATGATCCAATTAAAGTAGGAAAAAAAATATTTACCTACCTTAAAAAATAAAAAAAAATTCAGTAAACTTAAAGTCAAAAATCTAAGAATAAGTATATAAATGATAATTTAATTCTTTTTATATGTAAATCTCATTAAATAATTTTATTTTATCAAAGGATATTTTTAATTGTTATTACTCCCTCTGTCTCATAATAATAAACACCTTTTTATTTTATTTTTAAATTAGATATTTGGAAACAATTTCTATTTTTACCCATATTACCCTAAAAAGGAAAAAAATGAGACTTTATAATATAATAGATAATTAAAGTAAAAAAATAATAATAAAATTAAAATAAGATATAAAATACCTTCTTAAAATATAAATAAAAAAAACCAATTATTCTTAAACAAATTTTAAATTTAAGAATATCTATTACTCTAGCAATCAAACTAAGTCATATGTAAGAAGTAGTCTTTTTGATTCACCAACTCGTCCTTCATGTTGTCAATGTTGGCCGAGGAACAAAAAAATGCCATCAAGTTATTTTCCGCAAATCTCATGCAGATTAAATTACAAGATGTTTTACCAAAAAAAAAAGAAGAAGAAAAAGACAATTCCAAGATGTAATAGCATTGTGGTCTCACAAATACATTAATGCGTATGGTACAATGTCAGTTGCTAATCCCCAACCAATTTGCAGGTCGTTTGTCTCCTCTGAAGGATGCATTCTGACGTTTGTGGCATAATATTAACCCGTAGGTCAAAAGATGCATAGGATGTCATTCAGTTAGGGATAGATTTTTTGGTTTTCTTTTATGGCGCTGCCTTATTTATACCAACCAGCTAGCAAGTGCCTCAGGAGGAAACAGAAGCAGCATCCTATAGCCTGTGATTGAAATAGGAAGGAAGATATGCATAAATATGGGTCAGCACTAAAGCCATGGGCGTTCTCTTTTATTGTCTAAAGAGAAATGAAATGTTAAAGACATGTACCACGAGAGCAAAATCAGAATCACTAGGGAGAAAACTATAAAAACTATAACAAAAAGGTCTTATGCAGTTTAAACTGCATTAGGCTGCACAACACTTATCATTAGATGAGGGAGGGGGAGGGGGGGGGGGTGGGATCCCTTGATATTGGGGGCTGTGCCCCATCCAATGGTCTTTGTTCTAGTATAGTCCAGACTACAAAATGAAAAACTCAAACCATAAATTACTAGTTTTTTTTTTTTTTTGACAAGGATAATGGTTAGGAAGTTAGTGAGTTAATTGTTAGTAGTTGGTTCTCAGACCTGGTGAACATTCCACCCCTCAAATGAGGCGCGCGGCCATCAGGCAGCATTTTGGTAGAGTTCACGACGGTGGTGGAACTCGAAGCTCCGACCACCATCTCACCCAAGCACTAAGGCTTGGGGGCGAACCATTGGGCCACAAGGCCCAGTTCGCCATAAATTACTAGTTGGTCAAAGGATCAGACTAGTTGGTCAAAGGATCAGAGTACTTATTTTGGGATTTGAGAACCAAAAACAAATATATTTGTAGCCATGTAACTAAATTCATGCATATCTTCCCGCCTCTAACCTAGGTTAGGATAGTATGCTTAAATGTTTTATTTTATCCACAAAACAAACATTTCTTCCACTTGAGGAGAAGGTTAAAGGGAAGTAATGAAACCTGAACAATGAGGAGGTGGATGCATAGTGATTTTTCTGATTTTGGCCCAAATACTCTTAAGTAAAAGTTTACTAGCGTCCCATCTTGTGTCCCAGTAAGTAGTCCAGTTTCAGGATTGAACCTGAGAAAAGATGAGCAATCTTTAAGTTACAAAAAACAGACATTGATATCTGAAACATCCTGTATAACAGTGCTGAGGGGAGGAAGGAAGAGTTACCTGGGTAGACGGTGGCGAGGACATTTGACAAAGCCAAAAAGCTAGCAATATACGATTTCAATGTTAATCAGATAATTTTTCATCTGTGGTAGCCCATAAAGTTATAATAATCAGAGTCAGAGAGAGAACAAACCTGAGGAACAGACAAAAGAAAGTTCAATACTTGAGGGATGAAAAAAATCAGCAGTGTTTCACTGTAGCACGAAATCACAATGGGAGAAAATCAGAATATGTTAACATAAACAAGGTAGTAGTACATCTAAATTAAAGTTTGGTAAATGAGAATATCAAGCCACAAGAACACATCAGAATAGGAAATTGGACCAGGATGTTCAATTATGTATCAGATGCTACATTTTCAGTTGGAAAAAATCAAATTTCCCTGCTAAGTATACTTGTTTTGACCATAGCTTAACTTTAATAAATAATGTTTTGAAAGCTGCACCATGGGAGTGCCACATTTCCATTTCAGCACAATCAAAATGAGTGACAATTCATAAAATAATAATAATTAAAAAGTGACAATTCTTTGCCATGAAACCCAGAGGCCTTTAAGTACATTACCGTTTTTCAACGTGAACAGTTATCCACACATAGCAGTGATCAGATTTGTGAATCTCTCTGTAAAACCCTAAACCCTAAACCCTAAACCCTAAACCAAATGATAGTAGACAGCAAGATGATAATGCTAATATAATAATGTAGCAGCATACCAAAACCAAACTACGGATGACACTAGCATGGTATCTATTATATAACTAAAGGATGCTTTGTGCCAGAAGAAGAAAAAAAAAAACAATCTGCAAAATAAACAAAAAAAAATTAAAAAATAGAAAAACAGCTAAAACACACCTGAAATGGCCTAGAATCCCAACAACAGCCATGGTCATTCCAGCAAAGACTGTGTATGTATCACCAACAAAAACTGAAGAAGGATACCTACGAGCAAGGGAACCAAAATATTGTCAGGACTTTGTCAAACGATAATAGCATTTGGACAACTCAAAAATGAAACATCATGTCATTACCAGTTGTAAGAAAATAAAGCCAAGGAGGTGGCCAGTAGGGGTTGAACAAGATAAATAGAGAATGCATGGGCCTGCTGATATTCTGGGTCTGAAGATGCTCCAATTTGCATGATATTATGTATCATAATCTGTAATGTACAAAGATTTGTAAATCTCAGAAAAAAGAAATATGATTCTCAATGTTCTATCAGTTTCCATCCTTACAGCAAATGCAATGACAACTGTCTGCCCAACTTCAAGGCCATTCAAACCAGCATGAATGTTAATGGAATTTGTGCAAAACACTGCCAGAAGAGCCATATATAATATATATACCCATCCTGCCATTGAAAAAAGAAAAAAAGAAATACTTAATTTTTAAGTAACCTCAGAAAAATTTACTCTTATAGAAATAGAAATACAAAATTATGAAACTTAATGATCAATATAATATCAGCACTTGGATTCCTGCATATGAAAAATATCTTCAGAAATATGTATAACCTGTTCCACCTTGGCAAACCCTGCTTATATAGAATATACCTTCTTAATGTCATTGGATAAAAGATAAGACGTTTAATTAATCCATGGCAAAAGTGTAGTTGTGTTGTGTTCAGGATACCTAGATCCAGCACCTCCAGCCCAACATATGGAATTAGAGGTTTTGGAATGATGATGGTTGTGTGTCCGGCATATGCCATCAACAGGGGTAGAGTAGCAAATGACGGTAGTACTAGTTTCCTGGTCCACAAAACATTTTGAGAATGATTCCAAATGTTAGCCCAATTATTGATGTGGGGAAAATAATGCTTCCAAAAAAATTAACAGGAATTGCACACTCACACTCTCCAAGGAACATCCAAGACATCATCTACAAATCCAAGCAAAATCATGAAGCAAATGGATGCTAATGCTGCATTGTACTCAACAAGCCACTGCATAAATGAATAGTCAACAGCACAACATTATTCAACACCAAATCCAGAAAAAATAAGCCAATTTGAGATAACCATATACAAGAAACAAAATTACCCCCATCAAGTTGATGAAAGGGTAACATAAAACTAAACCAGTTCAAAACAAAGTTAACTTTAGCAAGGAAGAAGAAAAAGAAAAGATAGAAACTTTTTAAGTATATCATAAATTTCATATCACTTCACACTTACACTCGAATCAGCTGTGAAGTTAAAATACTGGAACACGATAGCCAAGACCAAGAACACAATGCCTACAACAATTCCCAATGATTCAGGCCTGCAGAACACTCAAAAACATCACTAAGTTCATTAATTAACAGCTATATAAGAACATAATTGAAAATCTAGGATCTAATTCATCTTTGAATTGGAAACAAAATCCATACCAGTTCATTAATCCAAATTGAAACCCAAAATTAACATATACCCAGTGCCCCAAACGAAACAAAACCTATGAAACCAAAGGAAAATAGCAAAAGAGTCGAACTCACACTTTAACAGTTCCTTGAGGGGTACCCTTCTTGTTGATATCATACCCAAACAAACTGCGCCGGAGAACATATCTAGAAGCAACGGGTATCATCTTAACAGTAACGAAGAACCCAGCGAGACTGAGTCCGGCATTGATGAGGATCGATCTCCTGAACTCTTGGTCGATCTTGTAGTGGAAGAAGAGGAGGTAAAAGTATGGGATTGAGAAGAAAAGACAGAGCTTCCCGATTACACCCAATTTCGGCGGCGCGATCTGCGGGTCAGGCGATGTGCTTTCTGGGGATTTGTGCTCTATCTGAGCTGGCTTCGTGTCTGCTGCTGCTGCTGTTGTTGTGGCCGTTGCTGAAGCTTTCTTCCGAGCTGCCATGGCTGTGTGCTTCTGCAAAATTCTCTGAAATTTCTGTTTGTGATCTTACACGGAGGGAGTCGAGCCATTTGCTTAACTGTTCAGTTCGTGTTGGCGACACCAACCCGGTCTTGCCACGAAAGCAAACTACCAGCCAACGTGTCAGCTATTTCCACGTAAGCTAAACTACTAGGTTAGCGTTTTTTTTTTTTTTTTTGAAAAAAAAAGCAATAGAGATTACATTACTTCTATTTTGGGTGGAGTCTGTTGTAAACAATAATAATTCTGAATCATTAAATATTAACTATTTGGTTAAAAACTATTTGGATAAAACTTCATTTTAGTCTCTTTTTTTTTATTTTAATAAAAAAATTTTAGTCTTTTTATTTAAAAAAATTATTTTTAGTCCTAAAGTTTATTATCCAGTTTTTTTATTTTAGTTATTCCTTATTTTTTATTCACATGACATATTAAATAATAAAAATTTAAAAATAAATAATTTAAAAAAAATTAAAATAATTCTTTTTTGATCCTCTAATTAGAAAAGTCTCTTTTTAATTTTTTTACTTTAAAATTTTTGTTATTTAATATATTACAATACAAAAAGATAATAAAAAGATTAAAAAAGACTGAATAATAAATTTTAGGACCTAAAAATAAATTTTTTTAAATAGAAAAATTAAAAAAAACTTTTTTTAAAAAATAAAACACCGAAATAAAATTTTAACTTAACTATTTAAATAGTTAATTCAAATACTCTTATTTGAACAGAGACCAAAAAATAAATCTCACATTACCATAGCTACAATGCTATAGTTAGCATGCCAAGACTGTAAATTTATCTCTTAAACAACATCCTAGTGATTAAGGACTTACAATCAATATGTATCTTTAAATGAGTATAAGAAGTTATTAAAAGAGTAAATTTATACAATATTACTTATAGATTCCTAAATAAAAAGTATCAATCATATAATAATATACTATATCATAACTTTATAATATCATATTGTAACTATATTATTTTCGTTACCCACTTGAAGTGAAATGCACAACAGATTAACAATGCTTATTAGAGAAAGTGCACTACCTCAAATCACATCATGAAAATGAGAAAATGAAATGTTCTTTTAATTAGAGTATATAGGTAGAGTCAATGGCTCTTTAATGTGTATCAACAGAAATAGAAGATCAGCTGGGTTTTAGGACAATAACTGAGATAAAAACAACAAAAATCTACAATCATAATCTCGCGGTATACCTCTATCACTCTATAGGATGTAAGAACAAGAAAACCTAAGACCTGAAATGTACAGCAAGCGCTTGGGTAATGATCGGGAAGAACTCCATGAAACCTAACACGACAATGCACCATTGACAACAGGGAAGCCTGCCTCTGTCATCCTCTCTCATGTTGCTTCTTTTTTGTTAGACATGTGAGATCCTGAACTCTTGGCCCAGAAACAGTGCAAAGGTCACACCATTCTATTGTGTATTTGTTGAGATATATATTTCAATCTGGGAATCATCCATGCCAGGAGGAGAAAGTGGTGGGATTGCTGAGTCATTAAAAACCTTGTCAGTGATTTCCAAGATTCGTCGGGCAGTTGCCTGAGATTCTTCAATGTTACCAATCTTTCTGGAAGAAACTATTTTAGAATTGTCTACTTTGGAAGAATTGTTGCTCTCAACTGATGACAACAACGTGTCCTTGGACATAGTTTCATGTGCCGATTGTATTACATCGACAAAAACACCAGACTCCCTAAGCCCTTGAATAATAGCCTGAACAAGGTAAACAAGAAACATAAGAGAGGTTCAATGCATCCGAAATCAATCAATATCTTCCGACAAGTTAAAAGCACTTCAGAGGTCAGGCATGGATAAACTTAAAACCAGAAGGCGTACGGTGTATGTTATGCAAGTGAACTTACCATGGGAGCATAAATCCTTGTCAAGATGCCCTTCCTCATAAGTTTCAAGTTCAGTGCTTTGTCAGTCCACACAACACGTTCTTGATACCTAAGTAAAAATGACCAACTTTAGATACAACACGATTTCAGGGAATTAAAATCCAATTATTCTATCCAGAAAAAAACCCTTAGGAAACTGAATAGCTCTTTTCAAAGAATAAATATAAAATTGAAATCATCATTGGCTATCAAAAATTAAGACTAATTTGAGATTCCCTCTTCTTAAGATGACACAGGTTCCATGGTTTTTTCTCATTTTATATAAAGTGGCTACAGTTTTTCCATCTACAGAGCAATTTGAATATGCCATTAGATCTCATCACATGGAAAACCCCGAAAGCTATGTTAACTCAGATTAAAATAGTAAAAAATACAATAGGAACATCTACTAGTACTTCAATATGAGTATTACCATTGAAGCATTTCTTCCTCTGTAGCAGTTGACGCAATTATGAATGCCTGCAAATAATACAAATGATACAATAGAAAACAACTTTAGGGAAATCAAGTCCATAAGAACCAGAGACCTACCTTATAAATGTCTCATATCCATATCACGCAAATGAAGATATTCAACCATGCTAAACAAAGATACTCTAAATATTGTAACCCAGATGTAATTAAGGGATTTAGATGTGTATGCTTCATAAGGACTCATGTTGTTACTAAAGGACAAACCAGCACAGAAAAATCAATGGCACTCAAGTTTTCTTCCTAGAATTAGTAAGTCATCAACCAAATTGGCTTAAGGAATGCCTTAGAAATATAATAACAAAGTTGTACCAAAGGAGATACTTAGATCTAGAACAAGGCAAGATAAATTGAAAAATTACAATGAAAATCAATAGGAAAATAATTCAAGATAGCATAGCATATAATTAGAACTCACAGCTCTGTCAAATTCCAACATGAAACATCGCTTAACATCCTCTTTTGTAGGTTTGCAGCCACAACGATCACGCCTTGATGTGAGATCAGAAAATTTGGGGTACGTGTAGTGCAGAACAGCAGCTTCCTCCAATTTGAACTCACTACAAGGTCACACAGAAAAATTGCTGAGCATGTGCTTATAAATAAGCATATATCTTATTCTCAACTAGTAACCAAATTGAAGAGAGTGAGTAATGTCGAAGGGAAGCAAAGGTGAGGAGAGAAGATAGAAACAGAGGCAAGGGTGGGAAGAGAACTGCAGAGATAGGGATTTTTGGAAGACTTTTTAATTCAACTTATCAACTTTATAACCCTAATACAACCAATGGTTAAATAGAAAACCTAAAACCGTAATTAGACTTAATTCCTAATTAGACTCCTAATTGGAATCTTTATTGAAAGATAATAACAACTCCTAATAAGTATAAAATATTGACCATAATAGATTACATCTCAAATTAATTCCTAAATATTTATAATTATGATGATATCCTAGATAGTATGGATATTCTTTCCTTATCTGCATCAGTGAGCTAGCTCAACATTCAGCAGATGAAAAGATCCATCTGGATTCCCAGAAATTAATATCATGGAAACATATAGAGTTCACACTGCATAATTATATGTAAAATGATATTCTAGCAAATAAGTTTGCACACGCTAATCAATGTAAGATGAGAAATATTAACCATACTTTGGGGCCTTCATGTAGTTATGCCATCTATGTGCACCATTTGGCCGAAGATGATCTTGAATGCGAGCAGCTGATTTCCCATTTCCATAGGTCAGAAAGTAGTTTGGATTACCACGGGTTGCTTCTTTATAATTTCCAAAGTAGACATCCTTCGGTAGATGATCATAGTTCTTCTTGAACATGGAAACCTATTCCAAGATATGCAATTAGAGTAAACAATAAATGCACACTTGATGCCTTTGCATCCTTCTTGGGAACTAGAATGATCCTCAATGGTTAAGAAGATGGATTGTTTGTGCAAGAAATAAGAATGGAAGCTTGGAATGTTTACTAAAGGTATATTAAGGCATATGAAATAGATGGTAATGCAGCATGGGTATTATACCTCACTAAAAGGCTCCTTGATATCATGTCGCTCAACGCTGCTCTCCTGGAAAAAGTATATGTGATAATCATTTTTCATGTCATGAATACATCACAGCAAGATAAAGACTCAAATATTTAACTTCCAACCAAAATTTTGTCAAAAGTATAAAGGTGACCAAACTTCTTCCTAATGCCTATTCCACTCACATAATTTGGGAAGATAACCATATCAACATTTCCAGGCACATCTGATAGCAACTGTCTCAAAGAGTACTCACGAGAACCCGCAGGATGTATGAGCTCATCAGTGTCAAGATGGATAATCCAATCCACTCTATCATCCTAGAATCGTTTATATATATATATATATATATATATATTAAAAAAGAGGTTAATGTCCACACCAATTAGTAACATACAATAACTGTTTAGTTTCAGAGATGAGATTGTAATAACCTTACCCTTGCCATGACAATAGCCATTTCCATGTTAAGAGATTGCTTCACAAATAACTCATAATTACATGGTTTGAAGAAGAAGTTGGCCAACCAAGTCTCATTCCAGATCCGGCTGGAAACCCCCAAAATTGACACAAGAAAAATAAAATAAAAAAATATACAATCAGATTCTTGAGGGCAGATAGAGAGCATTAAAAACATGAGGATAAAAAACTAATGATCTCTGGTCTCATATTTATTTTCCAAGCTCACATCAATGGCACCCCTAATTAATGGAAATAAGCATTTTTACTTATTTTGTTTGAACTTTGCATTACAGCATATGAATAAAGGAACTGAACACAATATATAGTACTTTTTCCTATTGAATATTGACCACAAATAAACTGACCTTTTTGCTTGTTGTTCCTCCAATTCTTTTGTTCTATATATCAATTTCACCCCCTGTAGAGGATATACTTATCATGTGAGAATAGAAACAAAAAGAACCAAGCAGAAGAGGACTGCAAGGTATGTCATTCAAAAAAGTAAAGATGGAGTATCAAACTCACTGGAATTGATTCTAAGACTTTAGATACATTAGGAGATGAAGCTTTCCCCTCAACAAAAAGAAAAAAGGTCGATACTCCAATGACCTTGTGGTAAAAAATCCATGGTAATATCTGTTCTAAGCCAGCAGAAGTGCTTGTTGTAATACATATCTGCCACCCACAAAATTACCGAACTTAAGTAAAACAAAGCTTCATAACAATTAAAGTCACATAAATCAATGACAATAACAAATGTATTGAAAAATGAATAAAAAGAAATAGTAAAAATTCAATACGTTCAAATTCAAGCAAATAGAAGAGGCAAAGTCAAAGAGAAGAATCCAATCAGAACTTTTCACTTTGATTAATGAAATCATAACTATTTCAAAAAGGAAATGATGAAACCATCTGACGCTGATTTTTTTTTTTTTTTTTTGGGATCAGAAAGAACTTAGTGCTTAGCTATTGTAGAGGTTTCAAACGCCTGACCTTAACCCCATAATTGAGGCTTTAGAATTTAATGGCTACTAACTTGGTTAAGCTCAAGTTGATCAAAAGAATATAGCAGTCTAGCTTAAGGGGCAAAAAAAGCCAACAGCACTAACAAATTGGTACATAAAAAATAATATTAATGATGGTGGAAAGAAAATGATAATAAAAAAAGAATATGCCTTGAAAGAATAAATTAAATGCAACATGATTTAGAAATGCCTATTTTCTTATTCTTGTCTACCATCTACAAAGCTGTCCAAGAGATTCCCCATGTTAATCATGCACATAGAAAATTAGAAACTCCAGATCGATAGCTGTCTCACAAGTAGGGTTAATCACTAACTAACTCCATTCCACTGACCATCAAATATGCATTCCATTCTCTGACGAAACAAGAATTAGATTTTGCTCAATTTCAGATTTCATGGGACTGTGAATAAACCTTTTTCATTTGGATACTTCCAGAGAAACAAAATCCAAATTCAATAAATGTATATCAAGAAACACTGAATAACAATCTCAAAAAGCAATCTCTGCTCATACAAATATGCCTCACCCGACTACAAGACACCAAACCAGAGGGAATAATCATAGCAATATTTTAAGAAAAAATGCATATTCTCTAATTCACAACAAAATTCAAGAATCTAATTTAAATGGTGAATTGGCCCAGATTCAGAAATACAAGAACCCAACAGTGATCAAATGATTTAACTCCAAGAACATAAGAATCTAAGACACCCAAATGAAATCAAGCATCACCCATCACCTAGAATCAGCATAAATATATCAAATAGACAACGAAAAGATTAATCACCCATAAAAGTCCTGCAAATCCCATCAAAACCCAAGAACCCACATCCAGAAATCACTAACCTTCGGCCTCAGATCCGACCCATAATCTAACTTCCAATCCTTATAGTACGGGAAGGCAGGAATCCGGCTACGACCGAGAATATCCGCGCAACTCGAATCTGAGACTCGACCCACGCGGGCACTAGAGCCTTGGGTACCCATTCCAGGAAACTCGAGGCGGTCGGGAGACCAACGGCTAATAGGGTCATTCAAACCACCACGCCATTGCAGAACAAAGGCGAAACAAGCGAGAGTCAAAGGGAGGACAGTCAGGAGGAAGAGGAGACGCGAAGTGAAGGTCTGTTGGGAAGCGGAAGAAGAGGAGGAAGAAGAAGAGGAGGGTCTTGAGGAGGAGTATAGACCCGCCATGAGAGAATGCAGCGAAGCAAAGGCGAGTGCATATAGGGAATGTAAGCGTTGAGAAACGCAGGAGAAATTGAAACTGAAGGAGTGGAAAGAAGAGGCATCGAAACCAGAGACCGTTTTTGTCGTTCGTGTTAATTCATTGTTAGTACAGTCTTCAGGTTCTTTCTTTATTTTAAAATATTTTTTTAAAACTTTTTCGTTCATTTGTTTTTATTTCTATTTTTTCTAAATTTTTGTAATTCATTGTTAGTATAGTCTTCAGGTTCTTTCTTTATTTTAAAATATTTTTTTAAAACTTTTTTATTCATTCGTTTTTATTTTTATTTTTTTTTAATTCTTGACAACCATTAAAGATAGAATTAGTCTTTGTAACTATTGATTAAGACACAATAACTCTGAGAATTAAGTTAATTCTTTTTATTAATAATTATAAAATATGTATCACTTTTTACATTTGTAAATTTGTTAATAATGGATATAAGGTTGATGGTTATACCTTATATTGGTTATGTAGCTTGTGTTGTTTAAAGCAATGGAACTCCTACGAATGATGCATCAAGGAAGTTATTTTCCACTAACCAAGCAAGTTGCTAAGGAAGATATTGAGAAACACAAGATTGGATATGGTGATGCTTGAATTGGGAATTTGGGATAGGATAAAATTGGCTTTAGTAGTAATTGAATAATGCACAATGATTCAACCACAAAACCACATGCAAATGGCGAGAAACAAAAGTGGAGTGAAATCTATGTGGAGGTGAGGTGGGTGTGACTATGATCCTCTTAACTTTATATCTACTCATCATAAACGGTTTGTTTCATTTGTTTAGGTATAAAGTATGAATTTTGATTGGCCAAACAACATTATCTTGCCTAATTATTGTCTCCATATCCATCTTTTGATCATCCCTCTTCAGCAAGATAATCGTTAAATGTGAATGTCAACACAAATTTGAGGGAAACAGAATGACGCAGAACAAGCCAATAGGTGTTAATGGAATACCTGCCTTTGTTTGTTCTTGTACAGTTCAAACATTACTACAAGGGATGCAATTCAATTCCTTCTTTAGATGAAAACAATGCACAAGATATGCCAGGTAAAAGAGTCAAATTGTAACAATCAACAAGAAAATTTTGAAAGGCTATATCTATCCGACAAAAAACACTTCATTGTTACCACAAGAACAATTAATCATTAGACTTTGAATAGATTGATCCAACTCTGTCCTACAACCTTAATTAAAAAAGAAACTCTGTCCTACAACCACAGATGTGGAGAATCTTACAGATATCAAGGTAAGAAAAGAAGCTTCTTGAGGATATTCTTCCCTCAAAACAGAGGATTATACTGCATCCAATCCCCAGGGGGCACACTATAAGAGAATAATAGGAGATTCAAGTGTTAGCCTACTCCTACTCCGGATCAGGTGAGCCACCAGGAACCAGCTGCATTGAACAAAAAAGTCGTCAGTTTGGAGAACAAGGTGCTTATAATGCATTGTGATTCCCTTCCACTTTGGTCACTGCACTATATTTCAAATCCTCAGGCCTAAACACTGTTGCAGAACAAACTTAGAAGCATACTATACTTACAATGGCAATATTGTTTCCATTAAGCAAAATCTGATCAAGCTTTGTGATCCTTCTTCCTTCAGCAGTGATCTCACTGTGATATGGATGTCAAAATAGTTAGAAACAAGAATATGTGCAACGGTGCAATCTAGGAAGCCTTGGAAAGCTAAACATTCAAAATTAAACATGCAAATAAACTAGCAAAAATATTACCAATCCAAGAAAGCCTTCAATCCTTTTAATGGCATCTAAGTAATCATCCATTTCAAAGCCCACATAAGGGATCAAAAGTTTTTAGAGCATAATAACATCAAGCATCTCCTGATTCTTGAATGATGAACTTGATCATATTTTGAGACACAAGCGAGCAAACAAAATGGCAAGAAAGAAAAGAGTTATCAACCCCAAGGATTAGAATAATAAGTATAAAACTCCTGGATTATGTCTACCATTTTCAAGAGAAATTACCCGACCTGTTGGGAAACGTAAGTACAAAATTTACATCAAATTTGATATTTGCTAGCTTAGCCTCGTACAAATCACCAATTAAAATTTATTTTTGAAGTGGTCTGAAGAAGAGGATTAAGTTTGATCAGGCACTATTGTACAGTTATCCATAATAACAAACTAATATATGAATGCCCATTGAAAGCAATTTTCAGTGCTACTGGCCTAAGTTTATATACAGAATTGCCATAGCAATTAGAATTCATGTAAACATAATTAACAAGGACTGATGATCAATTACACGGATTTGAAATCAAGTTTCTGAGACAGAAATGCGTCCGTCAAAGGTACTTAATTCTTTTGAACGCTATTGTGTTACCCAACAATTATGTCCATACATGTTTAAAGTGCTGTCTGCCTGATAAGGACCACAACCACTAGGACTACAGGGAGAAACTGTTCGACTTGGATTGAAACAAAAGATGGCATCCAAAAAGGCATCAAAAAAGGCATCAAAAAAGAAAACAACAGTACTAAAGTTAATTAAAGTGTGAAAAGAGAAGTTCTTTGCATCTCTACTCAAAACCCACAATTGAATTAACACCCATTACCCAAACCCCAATTTTTTCCCCTCTGTTCTCCACCTCCACAGTATGCTCAACAATATTACACAGTAATCAGAACAAATAAATAAATAAATAAACAGAACCCAAATATAATCAACACAGAACAAAAGCAAAACCCTAACGAAGAAACTTACTATTCAGTGACATCTTCGAGGACCATGTTAACGTAGACATCGAAGCCTCTGAGAGTACCAACAAGCTCCTTGTCCCCTTTCATTATCACCCATATCTTTGACCCGATGCACCGGTCGATTAACTCTGAAAAAAATTTTCCAAGGGAAGACCGAAACCTAAGTCATATTGCTTCGATTTTGTTGGGTTTAAAAGAGTTCAAAAAACGTAATTGAAAAGAGGAGAATGGAGGAGAGGTGTCACCTGACGGGAGGAGCTGCGACGGATTGTTGGCCATTTGACTCTGTCCGGAGCTCCGAGTGCGATTCGAACTGTGGGGAGGGAGTGAGATACGGGAAGAGGGAAAGCAGCAACAGCCAAATAAAAGGGTAAAATATTAAGGCTTGTTGGCAAAGTTCAAAAAATAATTGTTTAAAAAAGGTTTTTTTTTTATATACATTTAGGATTTTATTAGAAAAAAATTAAAAAATTAATTTTTTATTTAGCATTTATATAAGTTGTAGAGAAAGTTTTATATTCAAGATTTTGCTAAACTTATTTAAAAGGTGCTTTTAAAAGTTAATTTTAATTTTTTTTTTCAATAAAATTTTAAATTTATAAGAAAATAATTATTTTTTAAATAAATATATTTTAAACTTTACCAAACATCCTCATTATTTTACCCCACCCTAAAAAAAAAAGGTACTTTTGATTTTATCACCAACTTTTTTATTTTAGCCGAATATATCCCAAAACGTTTTAATCATTCTAAAACCTTTATTTTAAAAAATATTTTATAAGTCAAATTGCATATTAAGAGTATAATTTAGTTTATATATTTATTCAAATACTTTTAATAGAATTATTTCTTGTATTATTTCATTAATAATAATTAAATAATTTTAGAATCTAAATTGCATTTTCAATGTGGAAAATGACTTATACAACATAAATTTTATTTTTATTTTTATAAAAATTAAAGATATTAAGCTCAAGTCTTTGTATACTATTTTAATTAATTACTCCTAAGTCCTAAATAATGCTTAGAAACCATACTATAGAAAGAGAAAATAATAGGCAGAGGGACTGCAATGGGAAACGCCATAAGCGACTTCGGGTAACTTAAGTCGAGGTTTTAAATGGAATAACCAACCATCTACTAATCCTACTAATAACCCTAGCCTTGGGCAAGAACATGGGAGTCCGACACACATGGATGGACTAGAGCTCGGGAAACATTGTTTGATCTATACTCAAATCAAGAAATTCTTTTTACAATTCAAATTATATTAATTATAAAACATGTACCATTAAATGTAGAGAAGGCCAATATTATCATAAAAAATTGAACTTATATCTAATGATTAGTATGATATAATTTAATACAGTCCAAACTGCATAATACTTTTTCAATTAAATTATGAAAAATAACATCATATTAGCATTTAAACTTTTAATTTTGAAAATGATAGTTTATAATTATTAAATATTATTATATACTTAACTTTTTTTATTTAAAAATTTAATTATCACACTATAATTTTTAATTTTATGCGATATTGTAACTATATTATTACGGTTTGTAATTCACTTGTAACTTCACATCAAACAAAAATCGCAATTGGAAGTGTTGTACATGAGCTTACATGCGAAAGTTTTATTCTACAATACAATGCATCTATAGTACAACATCAAATAACCAGCATAAGCTGATGGCAAAAACAAGTATAGTTAGTTAGGGCCAGGCATTATGGCACAACAAATCACTAAAGGCAATAGAAGAAAATAAAGTTTTTTCCATGTCAATGCTTTGGGTGTATATGCATGTTTATGTGTTGTATGCTTGTGTGTTTCTCCTTCAAAATCAATGAAGAGAAAAAAAATGAAATCTTTGTTTTGGGCGGCTTCAATTTGTATCACCTTCGAAGAAGCTTTAGAACATCACCTACCAGGTGAAGTGAGCCAGTCACAAGAACCTGTGTGAAAGTAAGAATACATGTCTCAGAACAGGAAAAGTTGTCTGCAAAACTGTATTAAGAAGGCACAAACATGGCAAGAAATCGATGCTTTTAATGGATGGAATATTGTCGTAAGATGGTCATGTTATGACATTCAAGATATGTGTGCAACATCTAGATCTGCATACAGCTTACATAAGAAACATGAGGATTTGATTCCATCTTTGGAGAATATAGTTGGAAATTTTAGGATCCCACCAAGACAGTCATGAGAAGTTTATCCAGGTTTAATTTCGTAGATACTAGCCCCAATATATCAAGCGAAAATGAGAAATATATTGATAGGATTGTTACCTGAACTCTAAGGGAAGGGTTATCTTTAACACAATCCCTCAACCATTTTATTGTCAGAGGTAAGGACGGCATTACAGCACTGCAAGTGAAACAGTTATCCACAGGACTGCAACGAGAAGCATCCTCATAAAGGAACTCGGATGGTGGTAAGGCCTCTGTTATCTTCGTGTTGAAGCTTTTTTCAAGTACAGGATCTGTTTGTAGACCAAAACAAACACCACCGAGGTGGTTATTAGTGTATAAATATTAAAGCAGCTACAAATGCACCAGTTACTTGACCTTGAAAAGAAGTCAAGAAGACAGTATTTTCCTCTATGTTTTATCCTCTTAAATGTATCCAGTGGCTATTTAATATAAACTAGAGTGAAACATAGTGTTTACCCATATAAACAAAAGTAAAACATAGCGTTTACCTCCCCCATGCACGATCTTCTCCCAAAGCCTCTGGAGGCTAAATTGCCATGAAAAGTCCTTTTTATGGATATCCGAAGAAATGAATGAGGAGGCAGAAGTAACCTTGTTATATGCTGACATACTAGGGACAAAAAGAGCTTTTGAGAAATGAGTCCCTGCACAAAGATAATACCAAAATGCTTAAGATAAGAATGCTGAGAGTTTACTTAGAAACAGAAATATTACTTCCTATGTGGTGGTGTATAGATCAAATTCAAACGGAAAGGTGCAACAAAAGCGCCGTAGGTAGAGCAATGTGGTAGAGAAAAATTCAATAATATGAAGATAATGAGGCTATACTCCTAAGAATCACAATAGATTTCTAGTAGGATGCCCCCTTACATATCATGACTTAGAGCACACCACGTTGACAACTCAGAAAATTTATAGTTAATAATTACTGGAAACTTCAACCTGAAATATCAATATCGCTCCAGCATCATAACATTTTATGCAGTAGTGCCTGAGTCATATTTGTCACTATATTTTCAGTACATTCCCAGATCCAGCGCATATGATAGAGATTGAAGGTGACATTAAGTTGTCGAGGAGACAAACTTAGGTTCCATGAGATGATATGATTACTTGCTTATTTGCGGGTGATGGAGAAGAGGTAGGCTATCAAATTTAAACAAACAGATAAAAAAATTCATTGAGCTGGCACAGCCATGTAATGTAATTCATCTACTGAATGAAAGTTGCAGTTTTGTTAGTTTAAGGTACTCAATCATTTCTCTAGACCTTCATACAAAGGGGATGGAAAATAACAATAGCAAAGCTACAGAGTTGTCTTATAGCCAAAGCAGCTCTACCTGAGGAAGCACATGTGCTCACAAGCTGAGGGAGCAGAATTTGAGGGTCTCTCACGTCCATGCAGTTGAACAGGAGAATCTACAAGGTTCAAATGCTACATGAGGTAACATTATTGTGGCCATGAAGATCTTCTTAGAGATAAATAACCATCCCTCAGGAATGCATGATGCATCAATTAAGGAAGTTTTCCAGAAACAGAAGGAACTTAAAAATCTATGAATTGAAACAGAAAATTAGTGTTTATTTTATGTTTCACCTGCTTTGATATCACTTTGGACTCCACAGTTTTGTCCTGTTCATGTTTGAGATAACCATTGCCCCAAGATAATGATGATGATGATGATGATGGTTCTCTCTTTTCTTTAATCACACTAGAGAACCATCTGGCACATGCCTCCATGCTCTCAGGACTATGAGCACCATCCAAGTAAAAGATCAGATTCCCAGAGGAAATTTCACCAATTTCTGATGAATTATGGTATTTTGAAAAGTTATCATGAACTACTTGAGCCCTCCCCAGCAAATGTGCAGTTGAAAGACCTCTACGGAATGCTTCTGGCAATTTGGCTCCCTGGCAATCCTGTTTTTATATTCCACAAAGTTGAACAATTATCCACATATACCCAATCACATTTGAGTTCAGTATTCTACTAATATAAAAAGATCCTAATGAAAAAACACGATATGAATGAATGAATTAACAAAGTATGCTTAGATGGGGTATAACCAACATCATGGAATATCTTTTCGAAGTTTCCCGTTCTTTTGAGCCAACTTTTGCAAAGTGAAATGGCAAGACCAGCATTAATCAACTGGTGATCACCAGACAAACTAAGCTTTAATCCTTCCAACTCTTCATAATGGAGGGGTGCAGCTACTGTCAATGGAACCTGTAGTTTATTTTACAGGGAAAAAGAATAAAGAATATGAATCAGCAGATGCAAACAAGTTAACATGAATGTATGGAAAAGAACAATTTTGTAACTGATCTAACCAAAATATAGTTCTCCGTCTGCACCTCAATTTACAGCAATATATATCACACCAGTTAACATGATCACAAATGAATAGAATATGCTTATCCTCTTTGATTAAGGATCAGTTCATTTTACTTGAGTTAAATTATATATATTGGTTATAACTATTTGCTTGTAGGACACGTGGACTAATCATTATACCTAGAATCCTTACCATTGTAATAATTATTTTGCTCAGCTAATTAAAATGAAAAAAAATAAGCGTTTGAGTTATCCACCATAAATTCAAGAAATATGAAACTAGCAAGATATTTTACAAGATAAAACTAAAAAATCAAATTGAGGAGCATGTTACCTTCAATTCATGGGCCCTCTCATGAAGAACCTCCATTGCTTCAGAAAGTTGGGGAACTGTGAATGCTGGAATTTGAGGCTTCAGAAGTAAAGAAGATAACAATGGAGTTCAGAAATTAAATTGAAAATGAAAACAAACAATTCTAATAATCAAAATATGTTTATTCGCCCTTCAGTATTTAAAGTTGTATTAACCTTTGCTTTGTGTAAAAGAGATATGAACAATATTCTTCTAAGTCCTTTACCTTGAAAATTCCAGCCTTATGTGAAGCAATCTGACCCAGGGTATTTCCTGCATGGCATTATAATCAGAACCCTGATGTAAGCAGCAAAGAACTTACTTTTATCAATTATCACATTATTTCAAAGCTTTCAGAGAATAAAAGCTATGGTATTGTTGAAGAAAATTTGAAAGTGTTTGTGAAAAGCTACAGGAGGGAAACAGATGAACCTGCACCATGGAGAGATATTGAACTGAGTTAAAATTGTATTATCAGAAAATTATATACCCAAGAAGTCCAAGTGATCCATTCCCAAAGAAGTAACACCGCACACAACAGGTTCTTTGATCTGCAGAAATAGATCAGCAAATTCAGAAATCATTGACTTGATTCCTTGAATTGAATTTATATTGGATCTCAAAATTCAATGATAATAACTTTTTATCATCTAAATTATGATTTCTCTATCTGAAGATTTAAAAGGTTATTGCAGATACTGAGATTTGATTTTGTCTGCAGTTGTCAAGAAATGTGCATCCTAGAGTTGAAGAAGAAGAAGAAGAGGAGGAGCAATAAAACAGCTTGATAGTTAGAGGTACTCCACAAAGAGATGCATACCACATTTGTTGAATCAGTTAATCCTCCAATGCCTACTTCAATGATAGCAACATCCACCTAAGAACAAGAAAACAACCTCAGTAACATAATCATTATAAAACCACCATAGAAGAGTCAATAGACAGTTAGGTATGGGTGTAACAAATAAAACAAATTCTTGTGGATGATAGATGACATCATAATGAACCTTGAATGTTGATAAAGGAAGAACCTTTGGACATAGACACATAATTTAAAGGTCTACTAGGAGGCCCACTGAGATACATGAGATAACATTACCAATAACAAAAGCATACCTTTCATGTGCTATTATGCATAAACCATTCACACACAAATCCTTAATCTATAGCTATACAGTGGTGAAAAGAAAATTTTCAATTTCTCATCAATTATTCTACTCATATTTTCTCAATAATTTAGTCTAAACATTAAACAACTATTGACTTTAAAAGAATTCAGTCCTTAATTCATAGCTGTTCTTAAACAGATAGAGAATATGGAAGGGTATAGATGGGACTCATTTTATGAGCTAAGGAAACAGATTTTCTTAGAAATTGAGAGATTCAAACAAATTTAGAGGTCTCACTTCTTGATTAAAATCACATGCAGAGGCAGGAAAATAAAGAAAAGAAAAATAAATAAATGAGAATTGAGAAGCACTAATTGCAGTCTTTTGAGATAATTCCAACATACTGGTAAGGACCTTAGACAAATATCTTGAATGCCAAAACAGTAAGGAACTTACGTCCTTGACAAGCCCCCAGAGAAAATAAAGCATGCAGATCTAACCTTTTCACAGACAAATATCCTGAATGCCAAAACAGTAAGGAACTGGAAAAGTGGAGGCATAGGTAGATCATCTGTAATATTTTCCTGCAAAAAAGAAACTTTCTGAATAAGAAAATGAAATTATACATTCTGACAGAAGAGCAGCCAAAACCATTGCAATGAAGTCAATGGGAAGTATACCATGAAGGAAATATCACTTTGTACAAGAATTTATTACAGAGGCACTGTTCATAAACAAGAGTATAGGCACCATTTATAAACAATAGTATCATCTCCTACCTTATTTTATGATATAAATTCCTCTGACAGAAAAACTGATAAATCAATTTTTAAATAGATGAGGAAGCACTGAACTCAACAATTTGGAGGAAGCTGAGATTCTACCAGAATCCTATTAACCACTTCTAATTAAAAGTAATGAAAATTGAAAATAGGAGCCATTTTAATGCTAAAATTCCAAGAAAAAACTGTATAATTTAAATGTCTAGCTCATTATAAATACGTTGAAACAATACATAGTCATCCTTCTTCTGTTTCCAATTCTAGTTGAGAGAATTTTCCATTAATTGATCATTTTTTTTTTTTTTTTGGCCATCAAAATAGAGTGGGATTTTTCATTTTTTGTATAGCAGAAACTCAAGTATAATCCTTAAAGAAAGAAAACTAAAAAAAAAATCCTAAGACAGGAAAATAATTTCCACAAAGTCATCCAAGAAATCTAAAAGACAGCATAAATTCAAATAAGTAATCTTCCAATACCAATAGAGAGTATAACTGATGTAATTGAGGGAGTAAGGACTCATACCGTCAGTAAATTCCAACAATCCCAAAAATACAAGAGAAATTTTTCTTGAGAAATGTTCAACCTATAAAAAGCAAACGAAGCGTTTTAAATATGATACTAACAGAAAAGTTTGCATCAATTATGGAAATTGAATTAGATAATTTGCACCTAACCTACTTACATAAATTTTACCAATGTAAGCTTAAATTTACTTGTTCTCCTTATTATGTGGATAGAAATGGCAATAGAACTCTCAAATCAACTAAGCCTACAATTCAAATTAAGTGAGACCATCAGATGAGTGCTTGTCAACTCCACCATATTCAAAACCATATTTACATATGTTTGATCACCTCTCACCTATTACATTTGTTTACAATAGGCTCTAACACAACTACTCTAATGAAATACATTTAGTAAAGTCATCAACTTCAAACCAGTTGGTGACAGATGGTGAGGCCCTACTTGTGTAGAAAGGTATAAAAAAAATTAAAAAACTAAGCCAACAGCTGCATGGGTGAAAGAAGATATGCATCACTAACCCATTGATTCGAAATCTTTCTCTCACATCAATCAGGTGAGGGGAGGTGAACAGTCCTGTTTGGAAACCACACTCTCGTAGGATAGCTTCACAAAATGTACATGTTGAACCCTGAAATATGAATACAGCAAAGGAAATCAAAAAGCAGAAAGTGCAAGCTCCATTACTTTCATTGGACTCATGGATCAGTCAAAACTACAGATGTCCATGGATTAGATTGAAGATTAAACCAATATTTTTCCTTTTTTCTTCACAATCAATGTCAAATGGACAGATCTTTTTCTATGTGCACAACTATATTAAAATATGGGACAATTTCAATTTTTGAGCGCATCTTCTTGACTCCTAAAGAAAGGATACAGTGTTGGCAAGAATTACAAGAAGTTTGTTTATGATCATAGAAGTAAAAGTAGCATGACAATCACCCTTCAAAAATTTAGTTACTGGTGAAATAATAAAGTACCTTTCCTTTTGTTCCTGCAACATGGATAATTTTGAGGCCTGCTATGTGTTCATCAAGACCCAATATCTGTTTGAAAAAATGCATTCCTTCAGTTTGAGGGAAATACCTTGGGGAAAGGAGAGGTGGAGGGGCATAAAGAAGAAAAGAAAAGACAAGTAATAAGGAATCATAACAAGCATGCAATCCTAAAAGTTCAGAGAACACAAAGTTTGTAAAGGCCTTCAAAATAAAGCTCACCTGTTTTTATAGCAAAGAGCCCCAAACAATAACTGTATGAAGGGAGCAAATAAAGGGGAAAGGATGGGATACAATATTAAAATGCCAACAAAATTGTCTTATTTAGTACCTCTCATGTATCTCTATGATAATAATAAAAAAGAAAACAGATTCCTAAGCGAAAAAGAAACCTAGTATATGTCTCTAAACTTAACCTCATGTGCAGATATCATCTAACATAGATCCAAGTTGGACCTAATCTGCAGAGTTTATAGCTTAGAATCACTCCTAGTTTATTAGGGACAATAAATAAAGTGACAGTAATGACACTCCAGCCAAATTGATTTCTACAACACTCAACATCAAGTCATCAAGATACAGAAAGTGGTTATTATACAGTTACCTCAAAAGCACTACCAAAAAACCCTACATGCTGGCAACATAGTTAAATTATCACCTTAAGATACATAGACATCCTTTCCAATTTATCATATTTGGCAACCACAGATGACCGTTCTCCACGTTTTCGTTGTGTAATGAGAGAGGAAAGTGCATCCATGGCAGATTCATATGAGGATGAGACAGGAAACTCCTGCAAGTAATCTTTGAGAAACACCTCGCTCCCTGTTTTCTCCATGACTTGAAATGAAATCTTTGAATACCTAAAGCCTGAATCATTAAAGCCAATTAGCAAGGACATTTACAACTGAAACATTTAGTTTTATGCACCATACAGGACATAATATTCAAATGCTGTAAGCAGGTCATACATGTAAATTAAGCAAAACAAAAGGCAGCAACATTCAGATGAGTATATATAATATTCAGGAATTAAAATGCTATAATTAATGTTTGTATCACCAATGTTATCTCATAAATTCAGGCTTCAAAACCCAAAAATAAAGCAGAAGTCCAACTTTCCCTCTCCAGAACCATCTAAAACTTAACTTGTACTGTCAGTTTAAAGTTAAATAACTAAATTAAGCAAAACTTTCAACAATAATAATGTTTATCAATAGGTCTTAAACCATCTAAATTAGTATAGATATATGAAATGGAGGCAAGATTGATCCAAACTTCATTATGTAGAAGAGCATAATGTTTCCAGTGAGATTACTCGTGTCAAGAGAGACAGCTGAACCAGAAACTTTCCATGTTGTTTTAAAAGGGAATTGGCACTGTCTTTCTTGTAAGTGCGATACTGTTAATATTCCACCCTTTACAATTGTAAACATCAGAAAACATCAATCCTGCAATTCAAATGAAAAAATTAAAAGAAGAAGAAGAAGAAGAAAAGAAAATAGAAAAGTAATCAAAACAGAAGAACCAAGAAAAATCTAATGCCAAGCAAAATAAACTTAAATAAAATAAAATTAAACATGCATATCAGCATATGTTAAGGATATCTATTGAGTAATGACATTGCAAAGAAAAGTAGGATGTCCTGCACAAATTCACCATCTAGTATCCTTCTAATTCTCAAAAAAAATTCTTTTCCAATACATAATACACCACTAATTTAAATTTATACAATAGATTTACAGTTGATGTACGTCGATCTGATCTGTAGGAAAAATACTGTAAAAAAAATACAAAGTACAAGTTATAAAGATATATATTCAGAAATCCAACTGCAAATTTCCAAACGCACCATACCCTTTATCCATAGACACAAAACATCCCCTTCTATGCTCTTAAGCCAAAAAGATAACAAGATTCGGGGAGAAAGAAACGAGCTTTAAGGAAATTATAGCTGTATATGATTCAGTTCATTGTCTTTCCAGGTCCAATCCAATGAAAAATCAAATACCCAGAAATCAGTTCTGTCTCTAACAACTTTGACAAGCAACCAAGTCGAGTCAATTCCAATAATAATGCAACTCCAAAACAAACTCATATTTGCACAGAAAAGGGAGACCGAGACTCACAGTGGAAACCAGGCGAGGGCCATTATCGTTGGCAGTACGCTGCGTAGGGGAGAGTTGGCTGCTACGTTCTCAGTTTGGCTTTGTTCGCTTTTGCGTGCAGCAGCAGCACATTCTTCCTCTTTGTTCGGGCAGGACAGGGCCGGACCGCATATGCAAGACAGCAGGAGCAGGAGCCAGCCACAAAAATTCAGAGGAGCCTACCCTGACACACGTCGTCATCAGTTTAGGTTGTCATAAAACCTTTTACCCATATCTGGGACTAGATGTGTCATTGCCGACATCACCCCACCTA